GCGGTGAAGTCGAAGTTGTAGTCGCAACCCGAGTTTCCGTCGATGCAGTAGCGGCTTAGGTTCGAGACGGTCCATGTCTTGCCCTCAACGGGCTTGGGGCTGGAGTTTGGTGTTCCGGTTACCGCAGGGCAAGGGGCAGCAGTTGGTGTAGGGACAGCGGCGGGCTGAGACCCAGCGGATGGGGTAGGGCACGATCCTGGGTGAGCAGGGTTGCAACCTCCAGGGATGCCAGAGATGGATGAGAAAGTTGCAGCTGGGGCAGAGGTGGGTGTGGGGCACGATCCGGGGTGAGCTGGGTTGCAGCCGCCCGGGATACCGGAGATGGAAGAGAAGGCCGCTGCTGAAGTAGCTGTTGAGGTCGTCTTTGGGAGGAGGGCGATTTGAGATGAGCACCATTCGCGGATGCGCGCGGCGTCCTCACCGTAGCAAGCGGTCCGGTCGCATGAGCAGATGACTTCAGCTGTTCCTGCGGCGACGCATGAGTCGTAGGCGATTGTGCATTTGTCCTCACGCATGCGAAGAGTGGGAGATGCAGATGCAGCCGATGCTAGGATCAACGCGATGGCGGCAGATTTGGCGAGCATGTTGGCGAGAATGTCTTTCGGGTCTTGAGTAAAGTGCAAATGTATAGTGTGTGTTGAGGAGGTGCTGGTAGTTATGCTTGACTGTCGACTGATGATGAGGATGGAAACAATTGGAGATGCGATGGCTGCACTATATATCTTTCATGTACATGACCACCACGATGTCATCCTAACTGTTGGTAGTAACGGAGTGTGATCGGATATACGGAGGAGGAACAGCTGATCACGTCCTTGCTTAGCCCTGGTGCCATGTTGTGGCTCTCGTGAGGCTCTCGGAGAGGCGATTGCGATCTCATTGGCTCGCGAGCGGGACTTCTACGACGTTCGGCTCTTGTTGCGCCGCAATACGAGGCTCAGTCGCATGATATGACGATATCGCGCTTAACACGAGCGACGTTTCCTGGTTCAAGGTTTTTCGATAGTTCGGATGCATCCCGGCGAGGCTTGATGGGCAGCTAACGGCTAGTCGCTCCATTATTAGCAGCCCACTATGGAATAGCACCTGTCAACCGAGCTTGACGAAGCTTGAAAGGTGATCGCTTCGGCTGTCATCCGAGCAGCGGTGACAAAATAGGACCAAATTGCAAGGTAAACCTACATTTGATGACACTTTTGGGATGCACGTACTGCCAACCCGGGTAGTCCCATGTGCCGAATACGATGTGGCCGGAAGATTTGTGAGTTTGTGACGTGATTTTCGGCTAGCCGATCGTCTCCATGAAAACAAATCCCCGCGTCCGGACACTCCGCTTCCAGACCATCACGAACGGCGCTTCGTGGTTGTTGCATGCCTCGGTGGTCGCGATTTGGAACGTGCTGGAGGGCGAGGCTGAGCTGGCACAGTCGGTGTGTGTTAGTGGTAGTCCAGATCCTAGTCGCCAAAGGCAAGTTTTGCTAAGCTTTGCGCGACAATGGCATCGAGCCTCGTGCGCTTTCATCTTTGGTTGACATCTTGTCGCAACTTCTCGTCTCTGTCTTTCCTGTTATAGTGGATGAACTCAAAGTTCGTGAAACGGTGCTGCAAGCAAACCGTCGGCGACATAGAATTCAGCGCATGTGCTGTAGACAAGGCGTAATACTTTTACAAGGAGCCGTTTCGTTTCGCAACGACGTGATGTGGCGAGATTGAACAAGAGAAAAACATCGAGAGCTACTGCCGGACAGCCTCACACTCAGGGCAGTCGCGCTATTTCGCATCGATACTAGCGTCACTCTTAGCGCAACGCCATGCCGCTCCCGTCACCCGCAATCGTCATCACCAGGACCAAGGGATTACCACAGACCGCGACAGAGGCGCTGCCAACCACCATAGGCACTCGAGATAGACCCACCACTGTATGCAAAGCCTTACATGATGGCTGCCGCTGCTCCTGAATCCGCCGACGTGACTGGCGCACGTAAACTGCCCACAGCCGCGGAGTTGTCGGAAGCGCTTAAAGTTGATGTATACGATCGCGAAGGCAAGACGAAGACATTAGGTGAACTGGTCAAAGGCCAGAGGACTTTACTGGTGTTTACCAGACATTTCTGTGAGTGCTAGTCAATCGCAGGGTTCACGTGCTACGCTCTCATCATCTCGATCAGAAGGGTAGTGGAAGACCAGGATGCGTGAAGGATTCTAACATCGACAGGGTGTTTAAACTGCCAAGCGTACGTCCGCTGCATTAGCGAGTCTATACCGCCGTCGAACCTCCCTCCCAATACGCAGAGTAAGCATCAGCTGTACGAATTTATATCACATTTGTCTAACAAACAGTATCCAGTTCTCATCGTAGGATGCGGCTCCTACCAACCCATCGACACCTATGCCGCCAACTCTTCTTCAAAATACCCCATCTACACTGATCCAAGCCTTCGGCTGCACAAACTCTTCCAGTTCAAGTCCAACCTAGCTGAGGGCAAAGCTGGTGACGAACAGCGAGATTACATGCGCAACGCGGGCAGCACGATGTCCAGGATTTTTGGTGGCATCAAGGGCGCATTGGGAAACCTGCAACATGTGAACTCTGTGGGACCAAAGGCACTAAATGGTGGTGAGGTGGTTCTATCGGCTGGTAAGTAGTCGGCCGTTGCCCATTCCTTTCGCGGTGGCAGTGCTAACGGAAGTGACATATAGATGGTGAATGCGAGTACATGTACCGCATGCAGAACACGGTTGATCACACCAACATCTCAGAGCTTGCGAAGCTGGTTGGAGCTGAGTATACCCCAGTGAGCAGCGAAGAGGGTAAAGAGCAGGCTGGCAATGGCCCAACGTCGTAGTTCTCTACAGTTGACATGTGCGCGGTGTTTCCAGGAGTTGCTCTAGTCGAAATTTCACAAAGTCCAACACGTTTTCTAATCATCTGATGCGTTCATGAGGATCTTTGTACTGAATCAATTTGTTGACATCATGAGTAGCCTAACTATCCGCGTAGCACAGCTAAGGTCTCTTCAGTGTTCTTAGGCGTGATCCATCCATGATCGAATCGATCCTTCGCATCGAAATATTCGAGTCTCATTGCATCCTCCTCAATTAGCCATTCCAAAGCCTCAAGCGGGGTTTCACCCGCATCGTTCCTCGCATTACGCAATTCAGGCCAGCGAGCTACCATACAAGCTGCACTTTGGTACATCCCACTGAGAGCAACAATGTGCAGGAGATTGCCACCTGAGGAGTGTATGACAACCCCAGAGATCTCCTCCGCGCTCATCTCACTGTATTTAGTATCCAGGTTTTCGCGGAACAAGTGGTCTGGAGATGCAAGGGCGTCGACGACAATGTTCATGAAGTCCTGGGTACCTTTGGATGGCTGTAAAGACGCAGGATCGAAATCATCTACTACGGGTAGGTGATGGCACGGATGACTGGCGTCGCTCGACAAGGCGAAGAATTTCGTGTTGCCCACACGTCGGAAGCCGAGATCGCGAAATCTCTGTTCTTGGTCATCGTGAAAGGTGCAAGGAGTCGACCCCTTTGCAGTGCTTTCCCATGAATTGACGAAAGCATATACAGGCTTCTTGAAGTGATCTGAGAATCCTTCCAGTACCTTCCGCAGTATGCGTGCGCTCCCACCGTGGCATCGAGCGGCATGATTTGTCGTGGTACCGTTGAGTAGAAGGAGAAGACCAGTGTCTAGCTCCGATCCCCAGATGCCAGACCCTTTCTTGACGATGTGCTCTTTGTATTCCTCTCTGAAGTGACCGTGGCGATCGAATAGCTTGAAGCCGAGGTTTTTGATCGGGTCCGGGGTGGCGAAATGATTCATCTGGCGATAAAAGTCGGACATTTGAGTGCGGTCGATGAGAAACCCAGGCTGGAGATCGAAGTCAACGCTCGTTGGCCCGTTGCGAATGAACTTTAACCAATCTTCTACTCCTAAAAATGGTGTTAGCGAGTGCTTGTATCGATGTTTGGTGTTGTGATTTTTGATAGAAGCTCGTAAATTACGAGAAAATACCAACACCAAATCGTCAACAACGATTTGAACGAAACATTCAAAAATCCCAGTTTCGTGTAGTACTGCAGTCCTATTCCATTCAACACAATTGTAGATGTGTTATACTCATTGATGCAGCCCCTACACTTCGTTCCCCGCGTTTCTACATGTTGTGGTTGCTCCACGTCGTCGCTGCAAAAGTTGAACGAGCGAACTTACCGATGACATCGTATCCAGCGCAGGACGTGACTTGATGAGAAGCGGAGTAGTTTTGAGACATTTCGCACAATCAGCTTCGTCAGATAGTGAAATATTGAGGTTTTCAGATGGTGGGTGGGCAAAAGGTTGGAGTGAAGGAGCAGAGTGAAGAAAGAGGCAGCGACAGGAGAAGAAGCAGGTAAACCCTTATCGACCCCGCACAAATGAGCTTAACTAACAGCGTCTAGATCCATACTGCGACGTGTCAATCTCGGCACTTCTGCGCGCTCAGTCAGGCCATGAGTGACGCTTCAGCGGCACGGCGTCAAGCAAGATCAGACCTGGAGTCGGTCCACACATAACTCCGGCACACCAAGATGTGAGCGACTGTTCTTTGGAACTCTTCACAGCCCACGAAAGCGTGCGTTGACGAGCAAGCTATCACTTCCACTTCCCAGTTCACCACCAACGAGCAGCCAAGACTGGCCAATCACCAAAATCCCAGCCCCAATAAGTGCACGGCTACTATTTAAGTCGACTCTACTTCTCAACTAATTCGAACAGTAGTACATTCCAGTATGCATGACTTGGTTTCCATTATGCCAAATGACTTTCACGCATGCGTCCCGGACAAGTGGTTTCATGGAAGACATGATGAGATCTCAACAAGTGTGCACATCACAAGAACAAGTAAAAGCTGTGTTGAGTTCATTGAAACAAAATACATTGACAAATTCATGGGTATATCTCTATCTAACATATCAGTAGTCTATAGGAAATCATTACTCCAGTTGCGCATCTATATCTCCAGCCCACCAGCAAACGGATCTCTCGCATCACTCCTCATCTTCGCAACCTCTTCATGCTCCCTCCTCAACGCCCTCCAATCAAACTTCTCAAACGCAAAACTCCATGTCTTCTCTGCCACACTCAACATCCACTTGCTCATCGGACCAACATCGTCACCGTGAAAGCTCTTCCTGCCCACATGTTGGACCAGACTGGGTGTGACTGCATATCTCAGCTCGTTGCGTTCGTTAGCAAAGTCCTCTGTTATGACGTCCATGTATCCTAGATGGCGTTCTTTGAAGTATTCGACCAGTTCGCCGGCTTTAACGTTGGGGAAGACGAAGGCTTGACTGCAGCAGGCGAAGCGCGGCATCTCGTGGACGCCGACGGCCATGGGCTGGACGGTGATGCGGCCGAGGCCGAAGTATATGAGGATGAGAAGGGCGAGTGTGGTGTACATGGCGAAGAAAGTGCGGCGGGTCATGAGGGCGAGGGTGAGTTTGGTGGTGGGTTGTGCGAAGCGGAGGAAGAGGATGACGACCGTGGGCACGAGGGCCACGTAGACTGAGTTCTTCAAGTACGTCTTCCACTCCTCGGCGTTCCAGCCGAGAAACTCTTCGGTGTAGAAGAGGCGTAGATAGAGGAAGTCGGGTTTCGCGCGCCGTAAGGCGGCTTGTTGCTCGGCTTCGTGGATGGCGCCGAGGGTACGGTGGTACCAGCCGTCCATGGCTACGGTGTCGTCTTCGAAAAGAGCAACATAGGGTGTATATTGTTCCGTACATTTGTTCAACAGGTATTGGTAGTCGAACAAACCCTTCTCGATATAGTTGTTTCGTGCCTCCATTATCCGAATGTACTGCATGCGGTCGTAGCCGTATCCGTAGGTCAATACCTCGTCGGCAAGACCAGATAGCCACTCCTCGTTGTACGCAGGGTGTGCCCCGGGGTTCGAGTGGGGTATGAAGACGATGAGGTATATCTCCTGTCGCTCTTCAGGCGTAAGTCCTTCAAGTAGCGAGCCCACAGCATCCGGCAGATACTGAGCACCGTCGCGCTGGTAAGAAGATATGCCCACACATAGTTTCCGCTGCTTCTCGGGGCCGGCCTTGGTTACGTTTGCGGGGTTGTAGGACTCAACGAAGGACTCGGCTTGTTGGCGTCTGACGGCGGAATAGCGGGGGGCATAGCCTTTGCGTGGGTTGAAGAAGATGGAGGTAGGATCGCGTGCGGATATCGAGTTGATAGTGTAGAAGAAGCTAACAGCGACGAAGACGGCGATGCCTATGACCAGGCGGGAAGGCGAGAAATGCATAATGTGCGACTAGACTAGTAAACGAGAGTGAGAATGCTCCAAGGGTATTATCGCATCGCTAATCGAAGGGTGGAAGTGGAAACGAAAGCAACGCCGGAAGGCAGGTCATGTCATCGTCAGTGGCAGCGTCGTGGTTGACAAACAAGAAAAGGTGGAGGGAGAAAAAAAGATAGGAGCGACGACGCGCGCTCAAGATGAGGCGGGCTTGAGCGGCCTGAGCTGAGCTCCACCAAAACGGCGGATCTTGCCTTACGAGGATCTGCCGTAGCTGACCAGTGACCAGTAACCAGTAACCAGGAAGATAAAATTAGCAGACCAGCATGCGCGTGGGTCGGTGCTTGGTACTCAGGGCGATGACGGGGCGCGCAAGATTGCCATGCCTGTAGTCGCGATCACGAGAAATGAAGCCCATTAATGCCGGGTCAATAGGGGGAATCCGTGATCAAAAAGTATGGAAGATTCCATGCCACTCGGCGGTTTCGGCGGTATCAGTGAATGAGGCCGTGAGCGACAACCACGGTGTCAGCTTCTGCTCTTCGTTTGTGAGGATAGGAGAAGGAGAGAGTTAAAAGGGTGAGGAGCGACGGTCTGGACAGAACTATGTGCCTCCCGCGTGTTTAGCGTGACTGTTGACAGTGACAGCGACTTGACAGACGGTGGCAACTCCGCCTCCCCCGTGCCAATTTGGAGAAGTTTCCAAGGCTGGCTACACCATACGGTTGGTTTTGCAATCACGATTAGATTGCCGAGGGCCTATATGATCGCTCGGTTCCTTCCCACCATCTAGCATACGGGACGAACGTTCCTTCCGACAGTTAACGGGTCAAAATCAATAGTCGCTCCAACACGTGCGCAGGCGTGTTGGCGCGCGCCACAACCGAAGTGGCGCGATGACGAGCCCGGAACATGGCCGCATCTGATGGCATCTGCGCATGCATCGCATTGAGTCACCATCCCATCGTCGCTGCTTTATCAACATTCTTGCAGGGCTTGTCGCACTCAGCCCTTTCTTTGATCCAGTCATAGCTGTTTGACTCACCTGCCTTGATCCCCGCTTACCCTGGAGTCACTCATATAGCGTACCAGTACCAGCACCAGGCAGCTTCCGGCTCCACGCGCAGCAGCAGCAACCGTCGTCGGTGCCATGCCCAAGAAGCACACGCCCTCGTACACAACAGCAAAACCGTCTTACGTTCACCCCTCGCTACAGAGTTCGCGCTCCCCCGCATCCTCGTCCTCGTCGTCTGAACCTCAAACCGTCAACCAGCGCATCCAGCAGCTGCGTCGCGAACAAGCTCCGAGAGCAACGCCCGAACAGCGCGATGAGCTCACTTCGGTAGTAAGCAGTCGTACCGTCCCGCCAGAGCTGCGGCGCATCCTGCACATACCCGAAGTTAATGCTCCCAAACCAAAGGCGAATACACGCACGCGAAGGGTCATGGGTAGTGTGAGACCCCCACCAGGCCCCGCCGCGCCTTCAAGCTGGTTGCAGACGAGTCGGCATGCGCCAGCGTATATGAGGAAGAAGAAGTTCGAGTCAGAGAAGGGCGCCGTGAGGTTTGCCACGCTGGCTAGGGTCACAAACGAGGAATTGAAGGTACGATGCTCCCCAGCGCGTCACCTCAATCGATGGGGAAATTGAACACTGTGGAGTCTACATTGGCGTAGAAGAGTCCAGTCGTGAAGGGCTAGCGTCAACGTAGGCTCCTGGGTGTTCAGTTTCTTCGTCGTGGGAGGTGGCGTGCTAGCACATCTGGTCTTCCAGGCTTAACAATTCAGGCTTCTTACTCATGACAGCGCCTACCACCGCCGCGAAGCCTCGTCCACCAATGTCTCCGGACGTTTGCGCAACATTGGGAGGAGCTATCCGAGTACGAACAACACTACATTCCATCGCTACCAATATCGCTAAAAGAAGCGCTACTGAGCTATCTCACACTATATGGGCAGGGAGGTTTGGACTTCAAGTCGCTCAAGATCCTGTTCCAGGATGAAGAGGGGACCGGTACAGCTGGCTGGGATGAAGTGCAATTCCTTGACCTCAGCGGACTCTTGAGCGAACGCTTCAAGATCACCGATCTTGGAAAATGCGTCAAGCGTCCCATATCCAGTGCTATAACGACTGTAGACGTCGCTTCGCTCCGCCTAACCGACGACGTCGCCGACTCCTGGGAAGAGGAAATACAAGAAAGTCCAACGGCACCCTTGGTACCAGCAATGAAGCTCCAAACGCCCTACTTCAGCAACCTGAGCCGGCTTTCCCTTGCGAAACCTGGGCAATGGGCTTCATGGCCTGACTTACTGCGTATCTCGCCCAACCTCAACAAGATCACACACCTTTCGCTCGCGCACTGGCCACGGCCTTCGATGACACCAAACGCAAACACCACATCTATGATCTCAAAGCACACGAGCGTATCACTGGGCGGATCGCACTTCTATTCCGACCTCGACGACGACTGGCACGAAGCCACCAACATCCTCCGCCGATTCTCAAAAGACACATACTCGCTACAATGGCTCGACCTAGAAGGCTGCAACTGGCTCAAAGCCCTCACATCGCACCCCGGTCGCACGCCAACAGACATAAACGGAACCACAGAAGAATGGAGCACGCAGAACGGCATCCCAGGCCCAGATTGGAACGATGCGTGGCGCCGCATAACATATATCAACTTTTTCCAAGGTTGGATCCCAAGCGATAACCAGAGTCTGCAGAATATGCCCGCAGGTATCGTACCTGTGCAATTACTTCGCTGGCTCAGAGACAACAGGGACAAAGAAGCCTGGCGTTTGAACCCAAACGAGACGGGCCATGCGGTGGCGGAGTGGGTGAACAGAGAGAAAGTGGCCAGGCTGGTAGGGATGGAAATCCAGGGCGTGCGCAAACGAGGAGAAGGAGCCTGGTGTCGGATTGACTTTGGATGGGGAGGCTCCGATGAGAAAGCTGTTTGAGCACCTCAGTCACGGGAAATGTCAAACACCTGGAGCCAACATTGACGTTAGGTCATCTACTTCCATTAGTTCGAAGCAGTAACCCATGGAAAAACTCAACGCGTCGATTCTCCTGAACCCCTTTACCCATCATCGAAATGTTTGTTGAGAAACTACTGTACGATACTTCTCGTATCTCTAAGATGAGGCTAATGAAAACCGTAAATCCACTTTTTTGTACTACCCAGCTCGCTAACGCAGGTACGTTAGGTAAGGATCTAGATGGGTACGTGCAGCGGTGTAAGCATAGCGCTACTCGATAAGACTTATTGCTTGGTGAGATTATGATACACAGTCGTGATGTTGGAGTGAGCGATACGAAGATTGGAGCTGGGGAGTGCTGGTAAAGGTACAAAGATAGTTCTACGCAGCCAGTGTTACTATTCATAGGCGGCGGAGTGGGCGGTGGATCATTGTACCGATACGGATCTGAATATGGATACTAATCTTCGCATTCTATGCGAAGCCTTAAGATCGCCCAACTATATCCGAAGTCTGTCTATATGTAGCAAGACGGATAGCATCGTTCACCAGCATTGCCAGTCTGGAAGTCGACGTTGCGAAGCGCAATACATTGTAGTTTCAGGCACAGCTAGCTCCCAGACGTTGTGTTTTGCTTCTCCCGCCTCAGAAACCGTCAGCCCTGCACGGCATCAACGGCAGTGGTGCGCGCGGCTGTTTGCTTTTCCAACCTGAGCGCGGGTGTGCCTAGCCGAGAAACGGGTGCGTTTCGGTTGAAGGTTGTTCCCGGCGGCGGGTATCTGAAACTATGACACGCGAGACTGTAACGTTTTGCGCTGACAAGAGTTGGACGTGAAGAAGCTGACGCGTACGGGTAGCGAGTGACCGAAGACGAATTTGAGGTATGAAGAGTAATCGTGGGGTTTGTGGAGAAGACCAAGGGTCGGAGGTTTAGTGGGCATTGACACTCTTGCAAAGCAACATACTTTACGTTGTTACTTTTGCGCAGCCGTTATTCCAGGGATCCCGCTGGATCACCATGGAGTACTGTCGTCATGCCTCGGTGCAAGCCTCTGCGATCGAGAGTAAATCGTAGAGCCGTCGGACCGTTGTTCATGAGATGGAGGCATGTTAGTTTGTAAGATAGACGATGGCAAGCTATCCGTATAGTGTAGATGGTGTAGGGTACTGTCACATCGACATGCCATTCGCGGGACTGTCTATTCGTGGGGATCTTGCTGCGACGTCGTATACGCAGCGGTCTTGTCGCTCAATATGAAACATAGCCGCGTCTTGTAGGACGGCAGCTGCCCTTCTCACTCTGCATCTGATGGCAAGTCGGAAGAATTGCAATACTCGGATCAATGGCGGGGCATTGCTAGTACACCAAGCCGCGCGGGCGGGGAGGGCGGATCCAAGATAGAGTGTCGATGACGTTGCGATGGATGAGGAAGCTGCGGCTTCGTCGTCGCGATAAGACGCCGTTCGAGACTTCCACCAGTAAGCGTGGCATGTGCAGAAGCGTGCTGTAGTCGATGAGCTTAGGCAGATAGGTCCCAGAGCAACCGGAAGCGCGGTGCTGCAGCTGCAGCTGTCTGGAAGCTGAGAGGCCAGCCAACGATGTTGGAGCGGCAGCAGCTGGACACAATGACGCGGGAGGGCTACGCTCCAAGAGGTAGGACGCGGCGTTTCACCTAGCTCCTTCCGAGCCTGGAGCCAACGCGCGTCAACGCGACAATGAATCGAAGACGGGCCAGAGTCAAGCGTTGGGGGAGTAATGGGTGTAACCATCGTAGACCTAAAAGAGGAGTTCACGGCCGTTGCCATGCATTCCCATCGTCGCAGCCAAGCTGGGCGTGGGGATTCGAGGCTGACGAGGTGCGAAGAGGTATACCTGTCATTCCCAGGCTCTCCACCCGGCATGCACGAGAGGCGTGGGAAGTGCGTGAGAGATCGTCCCAGCGTCGTAATTCAACCAGGGTTGTTCCTACAGGCGACTCGGTGCGCCAACTGATTTGGAACAAGCTTTGCCGCGATGTTGAGTC